CCATGCCCAGCTAATTTTTAGTATTTTTAGTAGAGACGGGGTTTCACCATGTTGACCAGGATGGTCTCGATCTCTCGACCTCGTGATCCACCCGCCTCGGCCTCCCAAAGTGCTGGGATTACAGGCTTGAGCCACCGCGCCCGGCCTAATTTTTGTATCTTTAGTAGAGATGGGGTTTCACCACGTTGGCCAGGCTGATCTCAAAATCCTGACCTCGGGATCTACCGGCTTTGGCCTCCCAAAGTGCTGGGATTATGCGTGAGCCACCATGACCGGCCAGCTTTCAGCTTTTAAGAACTAAAACACAAGTATGCCTACTCTCACCCTCTATTCAACACAGTACTGGAAGTCCTTCCCAGAGCAATTAGTCAAGAGAAAGAAATAAAAGACATTCAAATTGGAAAGAGGAGGAAAAATTGTTCCTGTTTGCAGATAACATAATCTTATATACAGAAAAACCTGAAGATTCTACCAAAAAACTCTTACCACTGATGACTGAATTCAGTAAGGTTACAGGACACAAAATATGCAAAAATCAGTAGCATTTCTATACACCAACGACAAACTAGCTAAAAAAGAAATCAAGAAGGTAATTCCGGCCGGACACAGTGGCTCACACCTGTAATCCCAGCACACTGGGAGGCCGAGGCAGGTAGATCACCTGAGGTCAGGAGTTCAAAGCCAGTCTGGCCAACATGGTGAAACCCCGTCTCTAATAAAGACACAAAAATTAGCCAGCTGTGGTGGCGCGCACCTGCAATCCCAGCTACTCAGGAGGCTGAGGCAGGAGAATCACTTGAACCCAGGAGGCAGAGGTTGCAGTGAGCTGAGATCTCGCCACTGCACTCCAGCCTGGGTGACAGAGCAAGATTCCACCTCAAAAAAAAAAGGGGGAGGAGGGGGCAATTCCATTTATGACAGCTACCAAAAATAAAATAAAATACTAGGAATAAATTTAACCAAAGAGGTGAAAGACACTACAAGGAAAACTACAAAACACTCATGAAAGAAAATGAAGAGGATACAAACACATAGAAAGACGTCACATGCTCATGGACTGGAGGAATTAATATAGTTAAAATGACAATAGCAATCTACAGATTGAATGCCATCTCTATCAAAACACCAATGACATTCTTCACAGAAATAGAAAAAAAAAAATTTCCTAAAATTTGTAGGGGGCCACAAAAGACCCAGAATAGCCAAAGCCACCCTGAGCAAAAAGAAAAAAGCTAGAGGCATCACACTAACAGACCTCAAAGTAAACTACAAAGCTGTAGTAACCAAAACAGCCTGGTACTGGCATAAAAATAGGCCAATGGAACAAAATAGGAACACAAAAATTAATCCGCATATCTATGGCCAACTGACTTTTGACCAACATGCCAGAACACTTGCTGGGGAAAGCCCAGTCTCTTCAATAAATGATAGTGGGAAAACTGGATATCCATATGCAATGGAATGAAACTGGATCCCCATCTCTCGCTCTATATAAAAATCAACTGTAAGTGGATAGGGACCTAAACGTAAGATCCAAACAGTAAAACGACCAGATGAAAACATTTAAGAAATTTTTCAGGACATTATTTAGTCTGGGAAAAGACAGACCTCAAAAGCACAAAAAGCAAAAGCAAAAATGAACAAGTGGGATTATGTTAAACTAAAAAGCTTCAGTGCAACAAAGAAACAACAGAGTAAAAAGACAAATTACAGAATAGGAGAATTATGGCCGGGCGCGGTGGCTCAAGCCTGTAATCCCAGCACTTTGGGAGGCTGAGGTGGGTGGATCACGAGGTCGAGAGATCGAGACCAACCTGGTCAACATGGTGAAACCCCGTCTCTACTGAAAATACAAAAAACTAGCTGGGCGTGGTGGCGCGTGCCTGTAATCCCAGCTACTTAGGAGGCTGAGGCAGGAGAATTGCCTGAGCCCAGGAGGCGGAGGTTGCGGTGAGCCGAGATCGCGCCATCGCACTCCAGCCTGGGTAACAAGAGTGAAACTCCGTCTAAAAAAAGAATAGGAGAATTATTATACAGAATAATTATTATACAGAATAGTGTATTATTATACAGAATAGTAAATTATTCCTCCAACAGGGTATTTTTCTGTTTAAGCCAGTCAAATTTAACAGTGGGGAGTCGTATACCAACTTTAGTGACACTAATGTTAAATTCTGATAACCCATTACCATTGGACCTGCCAGACAGGGGATTAATTCCAGAATAAACAAGGAACTCAAATATCTCAACAGAAAAAAAAAAAAAAATTCCAATTTTAAAAATGAAAAAATAATCTAAACAGACATTTCTCAAAGGAACACATACCAATAACCAACAAATAAATGAGAAAATATTCGACATCACTAATCATGAGGGAAATGCAAATCAAAACCACAATGAGGTATCATCTCACCCCTGTTAGGATGGCTATTATCAAAAAGACAAAAAAATAGTAAATCTGATGAGAATGCAGCAGAGAAAAGGGAACTCATATACAAGTACTAGTACAGCAACGATGGAAAACAGTATGGAGGTTCCTCAAAAAACTATAACTAGAACTACAATATGATCCAGCAATCCTACTAGTGGGAATTTACCCAAATGAGAGAAAATCAAAATATGGAAGAGATATCTGCACCCCCATCTTATTGCAGCACTAGTCACAACAGCAAAGAATCAACCTATACATCCAACAACACAAAATGGATAAAGCAAATGTGGTATGTATATTCAATGGAATATTATTCAGCCATAAAAAAGAATAAAATCCTGTCCTTCACAGCAACATGGATGGAACTAAAGTGCATTATGCTAAGTGAAATAAGCCAGGAACAGAAAGTTAAACACTGCACGTTCTCACTCATATGTGAAGCATAAAAAAAGCTGATCTCATAAGCAAAAAGTAGAAGACAGAATAGCAGAAGCTGGGAAGGATAGGAGGAAAAGAGGTGTATAGGAAGAGAGTTGTTAAAGAATACAAAATTATAACTAGATAGGAGGAATAAGTTCTGGTGTTCTATACCACTGCAGGATGACTAGAGTTAACAGTACTATAGTTCCAAATAGCTAGAAGGAGGATATTAAACATTCCCAACACAAAGAAATGATAAACATTTGAGATGACAGATATGCTAATTACCCTGACCTGATCACTACAAATTATATTCATCAAAACATCATTAGGTACCCCACAAGTATGTAAAATTATTTGTCAATTTTTAAAAGTTATTTTTAAAAAAGAACAAAACTGTAATGACTAGACTCTAACACCTCTCATCTTTTAACACTCCCACCATCCAGTACCAATGCCAGACACATAAGAAGCAATTGATAACTTCAGCTAAGTGAATAAACAGATGAATGAAATAGAATTTTAGTTCAGAGTTTAAAGACAGGTTAAGATAGGCTGTGTGTGGTGGCATATGCCTGTAATCCTGGCACTTTGGAAGGCTGGGGTGGGTGTACTGCTTGAGCCCAGGAGTTCAAGATCACCCTGGGCAACCTGGCAAAACAAAAATACAAAAATTAGTGGAGCATGGTCGCACATGTCTGTATTTCCAGCTACTTGGGAGGCTGAGGTGGGAGGACTGCTTGAGCCCAGGAGGTGGAGGTTGCAGTGAGCTGAGATAGTGCTACCGCACTCCAGCCTGGGCAACAGAGCAACACTCGGTCTCAAAAATAAATAAATGAGCCGGGTACGGTGGTTCACGCCTGTAATCCCAGCACTTTGGGAGGTCAAGGCGGGTGGATCATCTGAGGTCAGGAGTTCAAAAGCAGCCTGATCAACATGGTGAAACCGTATCTCTACTAAAAATACAAAAATTAGCTGGGTGTGGTAGCAAGCACCTGTATTCCCAGGTACCTAGGAGGCTGAGGCTTGAGAATCACTTGAACCCAGGAGGCAGAGGTTGCAGTAAGCCAAGATCAAGCCATCGCACTCCAGCCTGAGCAACAGAGTAAGACTCTGCCTCAAAACAAAAAATTCATAAAAATAAAATAAACAAAGATAGGACAGATCAATTTTATACCCATTGGTAAGTAAAATATTAGGGCCACAGTTAACATATTTAGAAAATAGAGTACATACCAGAGCAAAGGAGTCCTGTGACTTTTGTCCAAACCAATCTCAAAAGATTGAGTCAATAAAAAAGCACAGAAGACTCTACTTCTGTAAGCCCCTTTTACAACGTCTATAGCACCTATTAGCAAACTTTCCACTCTTCCTTCCATCTCAACCTTGATCCACAGTGGCCACCCTCCAGGAAAATGAGAAGAGAGAACAGGGGATGGGGATAGGGGAAGGAGCAGAGAGAGGCACAGCACCTTTTCAGCACTTTAAGTCCAATCTAGCTTTTATTCATGAAAACTGTTTTTGAAAGGTAAAATGGTAAACATTCACAACTCATCTGACCCATGGGACCTAGCCCCACGCCCACCCCCCACCCCCTGCCACAGTCACATGAACAGCCTTGACCTCTAGATCCTGAAGGATATCTCCAGGCCATTACACACAGGTCACAGAAAAGTCCTTGACAACCTATTCTATTTCTGTCCTGGTACCTGGGCCAGCTTCACAACAGTGACCTGAAAGTCACACCCTAATACCAATTCTGCACCCCAGAAAAAATCAGTGGAGACATTTGTTATTCTTAAAGGGCAACTCACCAAGGTCTCAGGACCTATTTGCTGCAAGACACAATATACACATTAACTTCAAGGCTACAAATGCTTGTAAATTTTCCAACAAAAATCCTCCCCTTATGTGTTCACTTGACCTTCTCTGAAAGTGCTAAGGATAAGAATGTTTGATCTTCAATGAGTATCAAAGAAAACTTTACTTTCTCCAGAATGAAATAACCCAAGGCCACAACCTGATTGAGTGACTTATTGGAAGTCAAGGAAGCATGCTGACTGCTCACGAGGGATTTTTATAAGGGTCAATTTTGATCTACCAATGCAGCCCAGCCACCTACAAAAGTGTCTTCTAAAGCACAGCTTACCTTGTAATTGCTAGAGTTCACCCAAGAGGTAGCAAGTCCATCCACAAGTTTATCTAACATGGTCTGGTCATGCTCAAGGTCAGCAGACTTCTGTTTATCTGAGAAATAGTCTATCAGCTCTTGGCCAACCTGCAATCGTTTCCCAACATCCTTCTGCAACACCTGCGCCAGGCAGGACTCCATGCGAGGCTCCATGATGGAATTCAAATCCAGATCCAGCAAAAGCTAGAGGGCAGTCAGGATGACTCCCTCCCAGCAGACGTATCTGGGAGGTTGCCTCTTTGTTCGCTGAAGGTTACTAAGAGCCTGTGTTTCAAAGATGCAATCTGGGGAATGGCAACAATGCACCATGTGTGTCTGAAGAGCAGCTGGTAGGATATTAAAAGTCCAATTTAAATAACTAGTAGGAGATAAAGGAGTGAGTAGCAGAGTGATGTTCTACTATTGGGTCTGAAATACTTCATAATTCAGCAGTCCATTCTGAAAAGTAAGAGAAGAGAACAACAAATTAGCACAGATAACATAACACTCAAATGTTATGAAACATTAAATCAAAGACAAAGCAACTCATGCTGCAGAATCATTTACAATCACAAGCAGAGTGAGAAGCATGAACGGCTTGGCAACCATATCAGAATAACATAATTATTATTTTTATCAGGAAGAACATCGAAGCCCAAAGAAGAGCCAATGAGCCACACAGTTGGCGGGTTGATATTTTTCACAATTTCCCAGCTTGTAAATGCACCATTCAGGAAAGCAATCTTCTGCTTTAGCTAGTATATTTATTTGTAACTTCAATTGTTACCCACCGGAAACCTAACACCACTCTGTGTCTAATCACTGTAGGTACTGCAGCTTACCGCCTTACTCTCAGTCTTCTAAAAAACCAAGTATGGGAAATGAGGGAGGTAATATAGAAAACACTGCTGGCCAAAGTGGCTGGCTTGGTGACATTAAACAAAGTCAAGGGCAGCACCTACATCACACTACTTTACAGTGGGGTAAATGGTAGCCTCCACCTCCTTCTCCCTACAACAAAAAAAAGAAAGACACAAAAAGAAAAAGGAGCTGGGTGCAGCGGCTCACACCGGTAATCCCAACACTTTGGGAGGCCAAGGCAGGCAGATCATTTGAGGTCAGGAGTTTGAAACCAGCCTGGCCAACAGGGTGAAACCCCATCTCTACTAAAAATACAAAAATTAGTTGGACATGGTGGCGAGCGCCTGTAATACCAGCTACTAGGGAGGCTGAGGCAGGAGAATCGCTTGAACCCAGGAGGCAGAGGTTGCGGTGAGCCGAGATCACACCACTGCACTCCAGTCTGGGCAACAGAGCGAAACTTCATCTCAAAAAAAAGAGAAAGGAAACAGGCTTACATTCTGATCAGTTATTGCCACAGTGTTCTCAGCTGACAATCACACCATTTGGGCCTAGTGTTTTGTTATAACATTAGATCTCAAAATCATGTTTGAGAAGGGCAAAATACATGATATGGGCAAAGTACCAAAACTGTTTTAACTGTACAAACTGCATAATCTGTCTAATTAACCTATAGCTACTAGAGCATTGTACACATTTATTTCTAACTTATCCTAAAACCATTAATTAAGTCCTTTCATTTTAAACCAAGAAGATCCACAGGAAACCTATCTTCAAGATTCAGTACCTCCCTGACACTGTACCAAATTGAAGTTTTGTTCACGCCAATAGTAAATTCCAACTTTCAAAGTTTCCAGAAAATAAATCTTTCTTTTATAAAGTAAAATTAAAATTCTCAGTAGAGTAACTCACAGTCTAAATACAGCAATTCTCTCCCTTTCTAATACCACCCCATCCTCACCCCTAATCTCAACAGAAAAGTATAAGATTCTTTCTGAGGTATGGAATCACAAACATCAAGTCATTTAGTGAAGAAAATCCTCCTTTCAAAGCCCCAGCACATAATTACCCGTCTTCCACTTTACCGCTTCCAACAACACAGAAGGGTGAGGGAGGGATGGCATTCAACAAGGCTCAGTATCTCACAGAGCAATCCTTCCTAATATTGAGGAGAAATCTGCTTTCTAGTCATTTCAAAATGCTCGAGCTAGTCCCTCCTTCACAAGAAAGATCTTCAAATACATAAAAGCAGCTACTATTCTTCATTCCAATTTTTACTACAAATATGATACTTCCGGCCGGGCGCGGTGGCTCAAGCCTGTAATCCCAGCACTATAGGAGGCCGAGGCGGGTGGATCACGAGGTTGAGAGATCGAGACCATCCTGGTCAACATGGTGAAACCCTGTCTCTACTAAAAATACAAAAAATTAGCTGGGCATGGTCGCTCATGCCTGTAATCCCAGCTACTCAGGAGGCTGAGGCAGGAGAACTGCCTGAACCCAGGAGGCGGAGGTTGCGGTGAGCCGAGATCGCGCCATTGCACTCCAGCCTGGGTAACAAGAGCGAAACTCTCCGTCTCAAAAAAAAAAAAAAAAAATGATACTTCCACTTCTTTTTATTTTTTTTTTCTTTTCTCGCCCACCCCTGATACTTCCAGTTCTTTTATCATCTCTTATGTTGGACTAAAGAAGGAATAGGCGGGCGGATCACAAGGTCAAGAGATCGAGACCATCCTGGTCAACATAGTGAAACCCCGTCTCTACTAAAAATACAAAAAAATTAGCTGGGCATGGTGGCGCATGCCTGTAATCCCAGCTACTCAGGAGGCTGAGGCAGGAGAATTGCCTGAACCCAGGGGGCGGAGGTTGCGGTGAGCCGAGATCGCGCCATTGCACTCCAGCCTGGGTAACAAGAGCGAAACTCCGTCTCACAAAAAAAAAAAAGAAGGAATCAATGATACAGAAAATGTAAAAAACAAAAGAATCTCTTTCTGAGCCTAATATTAATCCACAATGCAGATCAAATAACCACCAGGCTGGTGGTATATTAAGAATGGCCACAAATTATTTGCTATTCCTCCCTTACCAAGGTGGAGTCTAAGTCCCCTCTTGCAGTGAGTGACTCTGGGCTTGACCCTGTGAAATCAGCAACTACAAAAGCAAGCAGAGACCTGCTATGCAAGCAATGGAACTTGCCCTCTTAAAATGCTGCCCTGGGATGGCCATGCTGTAAGGAAGTTGGTCTAGCCTATTGGACATGAGAGGTCACGTGGGGAACCAACATGCTCTAACAGCCAACGGCAACTGCCAGACATGTGAGCGAAGCCATGTGGGACCATCTAACCCTTCCAGTTGTCATCTGACTGCATCTATGCCAGTTTAAGTGTAAGGAAACAAGCAGAAAAGCCACCAAGCCAAACCACAGAATTATGAGAAATAATATTTCTTCATTTTGAGACAGAGTCTTGCTCCATCACCCAGGCTGGAGTGCAGTGGCACAATCTTGGCTCACTGCAACCTCTGCCTCTCGGGTTCAAGCAGTTATCCTGCCTAAGCCTCTTGAGCAGCTGGGACTACAGGCGCATGCCACCATGCCCAGCTAACTTTTTGTATTTTTAGTAGAGACGAGATTTCACTGTATTGGCCAGGCTGACCTTGAACTCCTGACCTAGTGATCCACCTGCCTCAGACTTCCAAAATGTTAGGAGTATAGGCGTAAGCCACCATACCCAGCCGAGAAATAACATTTCATTGTTATTTAAGCCACTAAATTCAGAGCAGATGGTTACACAGCAATAAATAACTGATATACTCCTTCTTCTCCTAAACAACTGTCATTCATTTTCATTCACCCTCAATGAAAAAAAATTTCATAGTGTTTACTCCTTCAAGGGGTCTAAAATGATACTAACCAAAACTAACAATAATAATAATAATACAATTTTAAGGATCTACATGAGGTGTCAGGTTCTGTGCTTATGTAATACTGATTTATATAATACTATCTCTAATTCTTTAACTCTGTAAGTAGTTGTTAACATCCTTACTTATAGATGAAATTGAGGTAAAAGGTAAGTAATTTTCCAAGGTTACATGGACAATGAGTTTCCTTTCCCCACTTTGAAAATCTTACTATTAGAAATCTTAGACTAACTCTGTTTTAGCTCAAGAGGAGGTCAGACTTCCTGCTTAGCTAGGAAGCAACAGGAAAGACAGCAAGGTCTCCATTCCTTAAGTAAACACTAAGATCCAATTTGTTCAAGCCTCCCTACCGTGATTTTTTAAATACATAAAAGAAAACCTCCCCTTCAACTAGAATTGCACAAGATTTCTAATTAATAAGCATATGCTTCTTGAACGTAATTATGCAACAAAGGCTTAGTACATTCAAAAATAGGTCACAAATTCCTAAGAACAAAACGCAAAGAATGAAAGAGACTGGAAGCCCCTAGGCTTAAGCAGATCGAATTCTCTTTTCTTTTTCTTAATTTAAAAAAAAAAAAAAAAAAAAAAAAGGTAACTTTCTCTTTTACTCTTACTCTTACCTAACTGATGTTTTTGTACATTTTTTCATGCTTTTATGTGTTTTCGATATCTTTACTTTCAGGGACTATTAATCATAGTTCCAAATTCGCAAGGTACAGATGTGCAAAACCTACCTTCCACCCCGACCGTCCCAGTCACCCAGTTATTCTCCTCAAAAGCAAGCAATGTCACCAGTTTCCTATGTATCCTTTCGGAAATATTTTTAGCTATCCAAACAAATAAATATATGTGTTCTCCTCCCTGTATCCTCCAGGATGAGTTTTCTAAACATTTACACTAAATCACAAAAAAGAAAAATCAAAAAATAAGTATGCAGAAAACTTAGAAAATAAGAGGGAAAAAAGGATGACTTGGAGGAGTTAGAAAAGGAAGAAGAGTTGAAGGAAAAGGAAGAGAAACTGGAGGAGGAGGAGGGAGAGTTATAGGAGGAAGAGGAATTGGAGGAGGAGATGGAGTTACAAGAGAAAGAGGAACTAGAGGAAGAGGAGGAAGAGGAACCGGAAGAGGAGTTAGAGGAGGAAGAGAAACTGGAAGAGGAGGAGGAGTTACAGGAGAGAGTGAAAGTGGAGGAGGAGAAGGAAGAGTTACTGGAGGAGGAGGAAGAAGATTTGGAAGAACTGAAAGAGGAGGAAAAGGAGTTAAAGGAAGAAAAGCGGAAGGAAGAGGAAGAGGAGGAATTAGAAAAGCTGGAGAAGGAAAAGAGGAGGAGTCGTTGAGGGAGTTGGAGAAGGAGAAAAAGGAGGGAGGTGGAGAAGAAGGAGGAGAAAGAGGTGAAGTTAGAGAAGTTGGAGAAGGTGGAAGAAGAGGGGCAAAGGAGCTGGAGGAAGAAGTGAAACTCTCTTCCGTCCACCCATATCCTGCCCAGGCTCTCCACAAGGGAAGAGTAGAACAAGGGAGCCTAGGTCTAAAGTTAACCTTAACCAGTGGTCACCTATGGCTGAGCTAAATAAAAACCAGGGCTATTATATTTAAGGCATCATGGGAGGCACTGGGACACAAAAATAAACAGGACTCAGCCCCTGCCCGCCCTTAGTGAGATTATGAGCTACTGT